ATGTTCTTATGAAGGCCTCGGCCTCTATGCCCTGTTGCTGGCCCTGCAGAGGAACTGGTTGACCACTGTGTGAGACAGGACACTAAACTAGATGGACCACTGGTCTTATCCAAAGGGCTCTTCTTATGTTCTTAGGAAGGCCTTGGCTTCCATGCCCTGTTGTTGGACCTCCAGAAGAAATGGTTGGCCACCGTGTGAGACAGGGTGCTGGACTAGATGGACCACTGGTCTGATCCAGCAGGGATCTTCTTATGTTTTTAGGTTATCCACCAATAATGGAAAATGTGGTATGTGAGAATCAGTGTGGAGTATTGGCTAAAGTGATGGTCATGGACAGGAGAGAGAGAGAGGTCTAAGCTCAATAACCTTGGCAGCCATTGCATATAATTTAGCAAAATCACAGCCTCCCAGAATACAGGATGGGAATCAAATGGGAAAGTTTGCTTATGATTTATGGGTCTACGAGCAATAAAAATGAATGGATGGGATCCTTGTTGTCTGGAGAACAGTTCTAATTAAGAACATAAGAACATAAGAACATAAGAGATGCCAATGTTGGATCAGGCCAAAGGCCCATCCAGTCCAACACTCTGTATCCCACAGTGGCCAGAAATACCAGTGCCATCAGGAGGTCCAGCAGTGGGGCCAGGACATTAGAAGCCCTCCCACTGTTGACCCCCCCCCCCCAAGCACCAAGATGACAGAGCATCACTTGCCCCAGAGCCCCTAGCTATACCTTGTGGCTAATAGCCACTGATGGACCTCTGCTCCATATGCTTATCTAATTCCCTTTTGAAGCCGTCCATGCTTGTAGCTGCCACCACTTCCTGTGGCAGTGAATTCCAAGTGTTAATCACTCTTTGGGTGAAGAAGTACTTCCTTTTATCCGTTCTAACCCGACCGCTCAGCAATTTCATGGAGTGCCCACGGGTTCTTGTATTGTGAGAAAGGGAGAAAAGTACCTCTTTCTCTACCTGCTCTATCCCATGCATAATCTTATAAACCTCAATCATGTCACCCCTCAGTCGTCGTTTCTCCAAGCTAAGTGAGTGATGGAAGAAAGAAAACTGAAATGAACGTGTGAGCACGTGCACACACACACAAATGCACAAGTGAGGCTTCATGTGGAACTGTGGACCATTTGGCGAATGAGGATGTGGACCATCTGACAGACGATGACTCAAAATAAGAATGAGGGAAGGAGCCACAGAAGTTGCAGCTAAAGAAGAACTGATATACAGAACCCTTGAAACGGCTGAGATGGACAAATTGACTTTAATTTTGAGAGGACAAGAAGAAGGAATATTCCATAATACATGTTGAAGATTTTATAAATGGTTGGAAGACTATTATAAATAAACAGTATGGACATAGGAACATTTTGGGAGATAATGCAGACTTCATTTTCATATTAATATGCAAAATACTTATGTAAAACTATTTGGCGATAATAATTGTAGTGAACATTGCAGTAAGTGATAGCTAGCTGATAATAGGTAAGTATATGTAACCCCCATTTTATGTATATGTGTTATGTCTGTTTTTGTTTGTCTTATTTATTGAAAAAATAAAATTAAAATTAAAAAAAAGTCGCAGCGCGAAGATTCCACCAGTGATGGGTCAAGATGGGTAGCCGTGTGAGTCTGTCTGTAGCAGTAGAAAAGAGCGAGAGTCGGTATGAGCTTTTGTGAGTGGCTCACTTCGGTCGAATCTGCATTTGCATTTTTTTAATCAGTTTCATGCTGCTGTGACACCGTTTTTCTCTATGCTTCTTTGAATGTTGTTTGCAGAAGATTCTTTTAAAGCAGTGCAGAGGTGCAATGACAGTGGAGCCGCCCTGAAAGGACAATAAACATATGTGGACCTGCAAAAGTATGCTAGCACTCTTGAGGTGTGAAAACGACACCAAATGTAGACAGCTTTTTTGAAGACGGAGTCAAAAGGCTGGGACACCGATGGGAAAGACAAATGCAGATTCAGCCAAAGTTCAGAGGTTGCCCTTTCTTTCATGCCCAGGGAAATGCTGATTGCCACTTTGGGGATCAGGAAGCTATTGTTCTCCAGACCACTTTGGCCAGGGATCCTGGAGGGGTTCCCCCCCTCTTCTGGGCATGGTACAGGGGTCACTGGTGGTGTGTGGGGGGGAGGTATTTGTGAATTTCCTACCTTGTGCAGGGGGTTTGGACTAGATGACCCTGGAGGTCCCTTCCAACTCTGTGATTCTATGATTCTAAATTAACCAAGTCAGAACCCCACTTTGTTTGCCATATTCTATTCTGTTGTCTTTACTGTTTTTGCAACCGGAGTCATAAGCAGCAAACCCCCATCCCACAATAAGCCTCATCCCACAGGAAAACATGGAAGAATTTAAACTCTGTTTGCCACAGTACATTCTTATGCTGGCTGTTAGTAATTTCCCAGTGTTTGACGTTTGATCCGGCTACTGCGCGGTAGTTCACTCTGGGGCAAACAGCCACACCTCCCCACCCCATTGTTAGTCTTTAAGGTGCTGCTGGACTCCTGCTCCTGCTCTTTTCTACTGCACCAGTGATGGGGGAACTGCTATCCTTAATTCAAACCTGTATGTGGATGTCTAGTTGTGTGCTCATGGTTTCAGATGAGTAGCCGTGCTGGTCTGTAGTAGAAGTGCTTGATTTGAGTCGTAGCACCTTAAAGATCAACCAGATTTCCAGGCTGTAAGCTTTCGAGAGTCAAACTTCGCTCCTTGAGCGTATGCTCAAGAATTCACCACTTTGCTCAGACCTCCGGATAGCAGCAATGGCTCAGGAAAAAACATTCTGGCTAATTTTATTACTGGCTGCTGAAATTTGGCATCATGATCATTTGTGGGATCATGATTTTCTCTGATGCGAAAAGGAAAAAAGGGGGCTCGGAAGTGCCTTTATCTTGTAAAGAGTTTGCATTTGTAGCTTGACAAGAATGCTTATTTTGGCTGTGACCTTCCTTGATTTGACTCAGAGATCTACCTTGCATTATTGAAAACGAGTACCACTTAAACTACTGTGCCCATGTTCAGGGCTGGGCAAATGCCTGTTAATAAATGAACCACATTTTTTGCATTTAATAGTATAATAATACAGATTCTGAACAAGAATGTTTGTGAGATTATCAACTGTTTTTCGGTTGGTTTTTTTTTTAAAAAACAACAACACGATTGCTTCACCAAAAGGGGGAAAAAAGGGTTTTATTTGGACAGAACAAATTAAGTGTGTGTTACAGTGGATCATCTTTTTTCCAGATCAAGGACAGTTCGTGCCCTTTCCTTCAACCCAATGTTGGCAGCCTCAAGCATCAGCGAAAGAAAAAAAATCAGTCCCAGGAGCACGTTTTGGATTTTCCAACTTCTTGCCTAAAATTAGTTGCATGGCATTTTATAATCTTAAAATATTTTAAAACAGGGGGCAATGTAGCCATTCAGGGCACTATTTCTTACACCAAAATGTCCCTTTAAAAAGTCAGGATAACGAAAATAGCACTCAGACAGCATTGCTGTGAAAGAATACAAATGCCAAAGTGGATGACCGTTTGCCTTGACGAATGCATCCAGTCGAGGCAAGTCATGAGCTGAACTCAAATATTTCAGCCAGTGTGCTGTGGTGGCTTAGAATGCAAGCCCTGGAACTGGGGGATTTGGGTTCATGTCCCCCATCATTCTGTGAAGACTGCTGGGTGGCCTTGGGTCAGTCACCCTCTCTTACAAGGTGATGGTGAAGAGAAAATGGGAGAGAGAACCTGGGAAGCCACCCTGAGCTCCTTGAAGAAGAAGAAGAGATTGGATTTATACCCCGCCCTTCACTACGTAAGGGAATCTCAGAGCAGTTTACAAACTCCTTCCCCTTCCCCTCCCCACAACAGACACCCTGTGAGGTAGGTGGGGCTGAGAGAGCTCTTGACAGACACTGCCCTTTTTCAAGAACAGCTCTTATCAGAGCTATGGCTTGCCCAAGGCCATCCAGCCAGGTGCAAGTGGAGGAGTGGGGAATCAAACCTGGTTCTCCCAGATTAGAGTCCGCACTCCTAACAACTACACCAAATTGGCTCACCTAGGAGGAGAAGGACTAGAGAGAAAGCTACAGGGATGACATCGTGAAGTGCATCTGGTTCCATGGCTTACACAGTGGTGCAATGCATGGCTTATACCATGTCCAGCTTTTCATGGCCTCAACGTAATGGGCTATGCCCCCTATTTGGAGCTGAGCAAACAGGAGCAGGGGGCCAAAGGAGATGTCGTCGTTCTTGAAGCCAGTCTTTCTGGGTGCCCCCTATTTGGAGCTGAGCAAACAGGGGGCCAAAGGAGATGTTGTCGTTCTTGAAGCCAGTCTTTCTGTGGCCTTTCCCTAGTGCCGCCAGGCCTCCCTCTT